CCTTTGGCTCATGGCTAAAGAGAACTCTTGGAAAGTCCTTAGCTCTAAAGTAGGCTGTTTTGTCAAATGAAGGAGGCTGTTCTACCTCTGCAGCACAACATTTTGAACAAGCTTAACTGTCAGACACGTCATCATGCTTTCCCAGTCTAGCATGAAGGCCATAAGGACCATTATTGTAAGGAAGTTTGATGACTGATAGGAATTATCTTCTTAACATCTTCTCTCCTCTCCCTACCTCCAACCTATCCTTTATGGAACTTCCCAAAAGAATGTTTTAATGTTTTTATAGCTGATCAAAGTGCTAAGAATAAGTGACTGCTGAATGCTCAGTCCTAAACAGGACATGGGCACACCCCTTCCAAGGGCCAGGGAACAGCAGGCAGGATAGCAGGAAAGATTATAAGAGCCAGAGGATAGGGAGGCATGCTGTGAAACACTTCAGAATTTTAACATAACATTCATGAGCATGCCACAGTTGTGCCTACCTGCACAGCACACACACAGACACACACACGCGCGCACACACACACACACACACACACACACACACACACTCTCTCTCTCTCTCTCTCTCTCTCTCTCTCTCTCTCTCTCCAAGAAAGTAGGAGGTAGGGCTAGTCAGGGAGAGGAAGGAAGTCAGCAGAAGTGGAAGGGGGATAAGTGATGGGAATGAATATGATCACATACATTGTACATGTATAGAAATTGACAAAAATAAAGTGAATATGCAGAATATAAGATATTATTATGATGCAAATATGTCTAATAAATTACCTAACTGCATACATTTGCTATCTCAGCACTAGGAAGGTAGAGAGAGGCAGATACTCTGGGGCTCCTAGTCAGCCAGCCTCACCCACCCACTGAGTACCAGGCCAGTTAGAAACCTTATCTCAAAAAGGGAGGCTGAGCAGGATTGATACCCAATGTTGTATACATAGAATCTTCTGATAAAGTCTAAAGAATAAATATCTTCACTTGATTCAAAAGAAGAGAATGCTCTAAAATGTAAATTATGGCCTCTCCATTTATTTAGAAACTTTCAGTGACACCCTCCACGTGTCCACAGTTTTCAGAATAATGTCTGAACCTATTACAGTCCTCTCAGGAACTAACACCTCCCTAAACTCCTTCCTATCACCTGTCCACCTTCTTGCTTCATGCCAACAATACCAAATACTTGCCACGACTCAAAAGCCGGGTGTTTGGTGCCTTCTCACCCAAGCATTGCTAAAAATGCCTTTATCTCTTTCTTCATTCTAGTAAGTTCTGTTGCCTTTGGCAACTCAGGTCCCTCCCTCTCTGAGCTGTCCCTCCTATAGTCAGGTAGATGGCCATGCCCCTCTTCTATTGTCCTGGGTACACCACTCTTCCATGGCCTTGTCCAACAGTGCCTCATTCATAGCACTGTTCGTAGCACCCTTAGCATATTTTCTCTGAAGCCTCCATTCTCTGCAGAGAGTAGGAATGGTGCCTTATGGGAATTCATTGTTTTTTTTCAATTCCTAGCATTGTACTTGATTCATAAGGGACATTTAAATATTTATCCACTTAATGAAATGGATGAGTGGTTCCACAGTCGATCAGCAGGCTCTCATAACTTGTAGACTATGCCATGGGATTTATTCCCTGAAAATCATACTTTCATACGATGTCCAATTATCTCTCCAAATCTCTTTACCCCTATTGTCTCTCGGTCCCTCTGTTGATAGTGAGACAGCAAGCTGGGGCAATAACAGAGTCCAAATTCTGAGGTGGATCTTCTAACTAGACAGACACAACTGCTTCCTAGGGAAGCTACAAAACATTCAGTGCCTCCACTTCACCCACCAGCATACTCCTTGTACTCTTGGTTTTGCATCTTCCCAAGGCTAACATCTGGGTAGATGAATGGATCTCCTTTGGGGCTAGAGAAATGTAGAAGTGCAGAAACGCCAGCTTTTCACAATGTCAGGAAGATCCCAGAGTCTCAGCCTTCATTGACTCCAATATAAGCCCTATAATTGATGTCTTCCTCAGACATGCTCCTCAATGACTTTCTCTGTCCCAAAATGTGCCATCCCTTCTCTTCAAAATCCCTAGTGTACATCATACCCTTAGGCTCTCTTCCTACATGCCTTTAAAATTTTACCTGGCCCAGGGGCCAGCACACAGTATACACACAATCTGTGTTAAGGCAAGGGGTCCTCTGCAAGCCACCTTCTCCAGTCACTACAGAGAAACAGACTTCAGGACAGGAGCCAATGATCTTCCTCAAGTGGGATTCAGACCCATGTCTCTTTGTCTCACTTCTGTGAATCCGCAGGATTGTCCTAAAACTCTGAGATATTCTCATTATCTGATTTCCATGGCATTATGCCATTGGCCCTACCTCCTCCGTTCTCCTCCAGCCTCTTAGCTATCATCTTTTCTATTCTCTCTCTCACTTCTTTCCTCTGAAAATATCCCCTTGAGTCTGGCCTTGAAAACCTTTCCACAGACACAAGTCTCCAATCATTCCAAGACTCTGAAATTTCCATTTCAATCCCTTCTGAGGTAACTTGCAGACACTTCACTTGTACATCAAATTTATCCCACCATCAGACCTATATCCCATCTCTTTCCATTTGGATTCACTACCATTCTTTGGTTTCCACCGTTTAGCCTCCTAATCCAGTGTCTTCCAAACCTCACCTAAACTTTACTTCGAACTGTCCATTTGTTTATCACCCATATCCAATTCTGAGGCTACCAACAGCCTTTAGCAAACTAAATAATAGTCTTCAACCATGGAAATCTACTGGGCACCATTCTGAGTCATTCATGTGCTTCAATTTTTCCATATGAGTTTGTTTTACTCCCATGTCCCCTTTCTGACACCAGTAAGTGACAATTATTCTCTAGAGATTACTTATCTCTTGTGTCAGCAATGGTGTAGGATTTGACTCCGGAACATTGCACAGCAGAGCCCACAAAGAGCATTGGCTCCCCCAACTTCCTCCAGCACCACACTCTTTCCTAACGAGTCCTGTGCATTGTGCTGCCAGAGAAATTCTTGTACAAGACACCATTTTATTAAATCCACCCTCAAAAAAGGGAAAGGGCACTATTGACTAGGTGATGCTCTATGAGCTTGCACAGAACACCTGACACAATGCCTTCATGTTAGATTTGTCAACTGGCTCAGACTCCCTTCTCTAGGAGCCTGGACTCACTCTGTCAAGTCTGAGATCACTGGTCACTTCCAGATTCCCCAGTTTTGGATTCTCTAGAGGATGAACATTAAACATCACAACTCCAGAGTGGTTTCTGCCTCTTTTGAAGTTCAAAGTCATCCAAAACATTTTAACAACTTTCAAACATAACTAGTCTTATTGTCTACCATATCTAAATAGCAACCAATATATACAGTCCACTCTCTTCCTTTTCACTGGTAAAATTTAGCTTCCATTGTCAGATTCCTCATACTGTCCCTCTCCTAGAAGTGCCCATATAGTAATCCTCTATTTCCATATGGGACAGGCTGCTCACATCACCCATCTGTGACTACAAGTGCATTGTAATGTATTGCTTTATTTCTACATAGTTAGAATGTCACATGTCTTAGTGTGTTTTGTGCCACTATAACAAACTACTTATGACCTAGTAATTTATAAATAATAGATTTATTTCTAGGTGGGATGAGAATTCCAAGTTAGAGAGGCTCATGTCTGGTGAGAGCTTTGTTACCAAGAGAGCCTTCACCTGTAGTGGAAGGTAGAGAGAAAGAATGTGAGAGTGAGAACAAGAGAGAAAAAGGAGATGCAGATATTAGGTCGAGCATCCTTTCATTAGTAACATACTCCCACAAAAAGCTACCTTGCCCCTGAAATAGCACCATTGATCCATTCATCAGGGCTCTGCCCTCATGACCTAATCTCTTAAAGGTCTTGCCTCTCAACATCATTGCAATGCAGATGAAGTTTCCAGCACAAGAACTTAGAGGACCCATTCAAATCACATCAGCATGCCAAAACCTTCTGGAACCAAAAGAATCTTTTCTCAAAACAAATTCTAGTCTCACTCTGAACAGATGCAATCAGTTTACAACTCACCAGGTGACATTAGCCATCTGAAAAGAAAATTTTAGGCATCTTATCCCCCCTGCTACCTCCTTACCATAACCGAATAGATAGGACTCCTGGTGGTAGTGTCTTACTGAAATCCTGAGGGTTAAGGCAGAAACCAAGTTTCTTACTTGTCTGCCTGTGGCATTTATAATCTATTCGGCAAATAGCAAACACTCAGTAAATACTGAGTAATTATTGACTCATTGATAATTTTAATAGAACAAGTCAATATCCCAGTGAGACCAGAGACAAATGATTTTAGGAGCAGGAAATTATTATTCTCATTTTGTCCACATTAAATGCAGAAGGATTTCCCCTGGGCCTTTCAAAGTAGAATATTAAAACCATCTGGGCTGGTGGCACAGTTTGAACACTCAAGTTGAAGAGACCATGTGTGACAATCTCAAACATTACCAAACAAGTAAGTGGAAACTGTGTCACAGGCATGTCTGCATTCAAAGTCTCACAGCAAGTTTAGAAGGAAGTGTTATCATTCTGTGTGGTCACCCTTCAGTACTGAGTTACTATGCAAGCTGGGCTGTTTGCTATTCATACCTTACTTTGTCACATGGTCATCCAGTAAGGTCCTCACTTGCTCTGACAAACACTTTGTCCTCCACTGTCTGCTTAATGCTCAGCCATTTGTTTTCTGCCTCACCACAAAGCCCAGAGTTCAAAGTGCATTGCTCAGTGTCCTAATGGACAACCGTCACAGAATAAAGTTAATGTCTTGAGCAAATCTGGGGACATGGTGATAAAAGTCCAGTCAAAGCAGGACTTACATTAGGAGTGCACTTATAATTTGGGTATAAGGTCATTAAATAACAGGGGGCTAAATAAATACTGAAATGGGAGTTGGAGAACATATAAAGCAAGAGTTTATATAAACTAAGTACTTTTTCTGTCCTACAGTGACCAAAACTGACGAAGTAAAAATAATCATGGTGAAACACTACAGAGTAGGTCTAGATGAAAAGTACGAAGTAACAAAGAAGTGGTCTTTGGATGATCTGCAGATGATTGACGGAAAAGAAGCCGATACCGTAAGTGTTAGTGTTCTATAAAGGTAGTGAGTGATCGATACACTGGAGATTGCTACGTTCGATGTCCTACTTTATAGACTCTTGGCATGTACAAAGTGTTAAAATGACATTAGATTGTTCTTAAGTGGTATGGATTAATTTCCTGGGATGATCTATACTGGCTTTTATGATTTGCTTTTATGAGTTGAAATCTGAATTTTGTCTATGAAATCTAAAAGCATCTTCCCTACACTCTTCTTGACAGGTTAAACACAATCTACCAGTCAGTCCCGCAACTTTTCCAACAGATGACATTTCCAAGAGCACCCTCTCAAACCCAGTTCTTTTGATTAAGTTTTGGGGATTCCTTCCTTCTCTTGGCCATAAGCATTTTATGTTGCCCTCGACTCACTGACTGTTCCAGTCAAAATTTCTGAACTTTGTCATTTTCTGAATCATTATGTACTTGGTGATTACCTTTTTGGTCACCTAGAAATACCCCTTATAAAACAAGACTCTTGGTCAAAGGATTGAAATATGTCATTGTTTTGTGTCCTAAGTACTCAAATTTTCTGAAAATATATTTTACCTAAAAGTTGAAGATTTTGAAACTGATTAAGCATATTATGGCATGTCTACAAGTTACATTAGTTTGCACCTGATACAAAATGATAAACCTTAGATTTTACACATAAGTATACATATGTGTATGCACATTTATATATAAAATAAGTGTAACACAAATAATAACCAAATGAAAACCCAGAGACAGATATTAGGGCTCAAGCTGAAGATCAGAAAAGCAGAACAGTCAACCACTAGAGATCACCTAACCTCTACCAAGGCTGAGGTGATCCTGACCTCAGTGTGGCTGGAAACTAATTGCCCTCCAGTCTTCAACATGTCTAGAGACTAATTGCCAGATCTGAGACCCTGCTGCTGTCTTATATGCCTCTCTAGTGCTGGGATTAAAGGCGGTGAGCTCTGTTTTTCTTCTAGACTGATTCACTCTGATGTAGCCCTGGGTGGTCTTGAACTCACAGAGATCCGTCTGCCTCTGTCCCCTGAATCCTGGGATTAAAGGCTAGTATCACCACCACCAGTATGGCTGCTGGGATTAAAGGTGTGTACCACCACTGCCTGGCCTCTATGGCTAGCTTCGAACTCTGATCTTCAGGCAAGCTTTATTAGACAATAAACAGTATATCACCATAAACAAACTTTAATAATAATTCCCTGAGTGGCAGTGCTACAAATTTTGAGTTATTTTCTTTATTCTACTTTTTGGTGCTTGCCAAAATTTTTCTTCTGCATTGATTCCTATGGAAAACAGCATGTTTACCAATCTATCGTTTAGAAATTAGCCATCCTCATTCATTTTTAGCCCATTTGTCTTCCTTCTCATTCTCAAATATTACTTATGCCATAATTATTTCTACTGAGTTTGTCCAGTGTCTGGTGACATATATATGAAGCCTGTCAACTTTGATCCATTTGAAGCAGTGTTCTATTTCTTCCCTACATTTTTTTTGATTCTCCCCTTTTCAAATTGAAGATCGTGGCATTTGAAAGTGAACTAGATACAAAAGGAAATCTTACCTTTCTGCTTCTCTTATTACTTAAGGATCTGCAATAAATAGTAAACTGCTAGGAGAAACACTATATTGCCCAAAATAGTCATTCTCTAAAAGACTTCCTGGCTTCTCTGGGAATTTCCACCTTTCTTTTTGGGTTGAATCCTCAGGAGTAAGTACTTGTTATTTTTATCAATAGCAACAATACAGTGATTTTTGTCAATGGTAACAACCCAGTGGTAAATAGAACACTTTCAAGCCAGTTGTCAACTTTAATGTGGAAAGAACTGAAATTGAATTCAATTTGTAAAGCAGAAACAAAAATAATTTTGGATTTGGAGACTGACTGGTATATAACAAGAGCCAGGCTGCTGTATCAAAGGTAGGCTGGGCTGACTGGGGTCTTGGTTCTTGTAACTACATAGGTTGCATAAATGTCATCTCTTTGAAAACTATTACCCCAATTATATACAGAGGGTTACTACAAATCCATGAATTCCCTTCTCAGCTCTAGAATTTTACAGAGAAAGAGAGAATGGGAAAGAGGGAGAGAAGGATGAAGGGACTGTATTCTATGTATATGCTTTCTTGGCCTTCAATTGTTAGGCTAAAGGAAAATATCTATCTTTTCTAAGTATTTCAAATACATGAAAGATTTTTCCTCATATGATGAGGGGCAAGTGCTCATAGAGAAAACTACCTGGAGGAATAATCAGTATGGGTTTTTTGTGGGGGGGGGCTTGAGATCCTCTATAGTTGTCATTCAACTGCCATAATGACAGCTAGAAAATAGTTGTGTGAGTAGCAGAGTGCTGCCTTTGAAATTATTGCACCCCTGTATGTTTTTATTTTGTAAGCAGAGTCTTACCATGTAGCTCAGGCTATCCTGGAACTCATTATGCATCTCATACTAGCCTCAAAATCATGTACATCTCCCTGCATCAGCCTCCCAAGTGCTAGGAGAATAGACATGTGCTATTGTGGTCAACCTGTATATTACTTTTTTCAAGCACTGGTGTGTGTGTGTGTGTGTAGAAGGGTGCATGTATGCAGGTGTCAACCTGTATATTACTTTTTTCAAGCACTGGTGTGTGTGTGTGTGTGTGTGTGTGTGTGTAGAAGGGTGCATGTATGCAGGAATGTGTGTGAGTGTGCTTGCTCATGTGTTTGTGAGGCTGGGGGTTACCTTCAGATATCTTCTGCAATTGCTCCTTGCTTTTTTGTGTGTGCTTTTGTTTTTATTTTTGTTTTTGTGAGACAGGGTTTCTCAGTGTCCTGGAACTCATTCTGTAGACCAGTCTGGCCTTGAACTCAGAGATCTGCCTCCCAAGTGCTGGGATTAAAGGTGTGCACCACCACTGCCTGGCTACTCCCTGCTTTTCTTTGAGGCAAAGTCTCTCAACACACCTGGGACTTGCTATTTTTGGCTAGACCAGCTAGTACAGTACCAACAATCCCTGGCTATTGAGATTTTGGAATCCACCTATTTTAGCTTGCTTTCTCTTCCCCAGTACTAGGGTTTCGAGTGCATGCCTAGCTTCTTACATGAGTGTTGAGGATTTGAACTCAGATACTCATGCTTGTACTGCAAGCACTTACCCAGTGAGCCATCTCTCTGGCCTCTAGTCTAGATCTTGGTTTTTGTTTTGTTTTTAATTTTGATTGATAAACCAAGGAAGTATTTTAAGTATTAAAGGTGGGGCAGATCTGAGAAAGAGACCTTCCGTTTATTAAGTTATGTATTAGCAGCTTATATACCTTATCTCAGGAACAAGTCACAGTTATATAATATTGGAACCCCATCTAAAACGATGGTCTAAAGCAGTGGTTCTCAACATGTGTGTTGTGAATCCTTTAGGTGTCCAAACGACCCTTTAACAAGAGGCACCTAAGACCATGAGAAAATGTAGCTATTTACATTATGATTCAAAACAGTAGCAAAATTACAGTTCTGAAGTAGCAACAAAAATAATTTTGTGGCCAGGGGTCATCGCAACATGAGGAACTGTATTAAAGGGTTGTAGCATTAGGAAGACTGCAAACCACTGGTCTTAAGGGGGGGTGTGTCAAATCAGATAAATAATTTTCGAACGGTTATAACAGGAACTTAAATGATCATTAGTGTTCTTGTGTGGTTGGGACCCTGCCAGTCTGTTTGTTAATTAGGGCAATAGTTAACTCTATCCCTCCTTCCATAGATGTACTTCACATCAGTCCAGCACACATTTGGTGAGAACTTATTAGCTGCAATAGATAAAAGCTAAGAATGCAAAAACAAATAATTTAAACTCTTTGCCCTCCAGGCTAGTTAGGGGCTGGGCAGATAATGTGTTTTGTGAATGGAAATGCATTTTGAACACTACTGCAAAGCATTGCCTTTCCTGTTAATAGCAGTAGGGATTGTCATGATTTTAACACATAACCAAAAAAAAATATTACTAGAAACAGCAAGAGCTATGTCATATTGGGTTACTTGTCCATATTGGACAAAGACTTCATGGCTCTCACTATTCTGTCCAAAGCTTATTCCACATTGTTCACTTCAAAGTTATCAAGTTGGTAAACTGCACAATGTCAAAGGGTAGTTAGACATCCAGTGTGTCCTATTTGCCTCCAAAGTAGTATGAAGGACTGATTTCTTAGTACTCATAGGGAGAATACTATGGCTTCCTCCAGAAGTCTACAAGAGGGTTTGTTCTTTTCTTCCATCCTTACCCAACCTCTAAAATTCACTGGAAAGACTTGATAGCTATACATTATATGACATTTTGTTTATACAACTGAAAAAACATAGATGTTCCAGACAGTCTTTGCTACTTTTTGCTTTTTCTTTTCCTTTATTGAAAATGGATTTTTTTCTCATATACTAAGTCCTGATTATGGTTTCCTTTCTCTCTACTCCTCCCAGCTCCTTTCCCCTCCCCTCCCATCTGGACTCACCCCTTTCTTTATCTCACTAGAAAACAAACAGGTTTCTATAGGATAATAAAATAAGACAAAACAAAAACTAACACATCAGAATTCACAAAACAAACAAACAGAAGGAAAAGAGCCCCAAAGAAGGTACAAAAAATAGATCCACTTGTTTGCATACTCATGAATCACATGAAAACTCTAGACTGGAAGCCATAATACATACTCAAAGGACCTGTAGGGTAAAAACAGATAAGATATGAATAAAAATAAAACAAAAATAGTAAGATAATTTTTAAAAGAAGAGCCCTGACACAGTATGAGACAAGGAACCTCTAAAGATGCCATTGAGATAATTTTCTGCTGTCCATCTACTGCTGGGCATGCAGCCTACCCTTAAGAGTAGTTTGATTCCCCAGTGAGACTCCCTTGGGGGAAGCCAGTTTTCATTTGCAAATGGTTATCAATTGAAGAATCTCCTAGGACCCCAACTGGTCCTGACCCTTACAGGGTCTGTGCATGCTGCCTCACTCT